GGGCCCAGGAGCGCTGCTCGGCGTTCTGAGGCTGGGAGGAAAAAAGTTCTGGCGACTTTCTTGGAAAACGTGCAACAACCTTCCAGTTAATGCTGATTTGTGTGTCTCGGTTTTATTTGTGCACTTATTCATTCCCGGATAGTTTCGGCTGTAACGACAGTAGTGGGGCTGAAGCTCGCCCCGCTGGGTCCGGTGGCACGGATTCACGGGGTCCGCAGCCCGGCGGGCCGAAATGTCATCTGTAGAAAATTTACTTTCGGTGACAAACTTTCATGGGCACAGCATAAATTACGGGAGCTTTCCAAAAGCCCGAAAATAGCTGAGGGACTTTTCACATTTGTTTTTAATCTCTTGTCACTCAGAGATCTTCTGTATTAGTCGTATTAATTTTCTGTTACATTTCCAAAGCAGATTGAGATAAGGACTTTAAAGTAAACAGGAAGACTTTCAATTAGTTGTGGCTAATTCTGTTCAATTGCCTCGTCTGGGGGTCATGCTGCTTTGCTCGTGAAATGCGGATGGTTGTATTGACACCATATGGAGCTGCACATAGGAATGGCTCTGGGATTTGAGTATTTCCAGGAGCGGTTATAGGAAAGTGTGAGGAAAGAAACTTTTTATTTTGGCTTATATGATTGAAGCGTACGAGTTAAATACTGGTTCTGCTTTATGTTCAACAACTGGTTTTGCTTCCTATTAAATTTCATCCCTCCTGTTCTTTTGAACTATTTTAGTATGCTAAAGTAAGTTTTTTGACAAAACCTAACGCTTTTTTGATACTAACCTAAGCTTCATAGCTTAGTTTCTTGGCTTAGCTTAATTCAGCATTGTGAAATTAAAATTCAGGCGTGACAGCATGCTAAACAAAACAAAACAAAACAAAAAAACAACCAACAAAAAACCACCAAACAAGGAGGGGGATTCACAGAACTTTTAGAGTTGCTTCAAAAATCAATTTGCATTAGCAGTAATCCAAATTTGTCTTTTTCATTGATGTTACTGTGAAACAATAAAACACATTACAGTGCTTTTTTTGTTAGCACAAGGGAGGTTTTTCTAATTAGAATTCCCTTGGTAGTGTAAATTGTCCTTATGTAAGTTCACATTCCTTTAAAAGTGTGAGAAAATAAGTTCCACTTGTATAAATAAGCTTTGGTCTGTTTTAAGAAACCCTGCTGGGATTACTCATTGGACAGCTGTGTCACTCGCTCTTAAACTCGCAGGAGTACATCTTTGTAGGTGTCACCAAACCATGTGGTCCGGCCGCTTTTGTGTAAATATTTCTTTTGTTTGTGTCAAACGCCTTAGAAGTACCCTGCTTTTTCTTCCTTCTCTTCACATTAAGAGACCGAGCAAGAGTCCGGTGTTGTCTGTTACCTCCAACTACCCCAGTCCTTGGAGCTGGGATTGCGCAATCTGTAAGGTCATACCGCGTTTCGGTTTTACATATACAAAAAGGGTTTGACTACTATGTGTTATTGTTGCAACAAACAGTGCGCTTACAAATTGTAAAAAGACTGTTGATGAATTTTATTAGTATATGCTTACTGTGTTTTCCATGGAAGTCCATAGCGGGCATAGCCAAAGGCTAGTAGTTTAATTGCAGGCTTTAAAATCCTCTTTAGAAATCAACAACTATTACACCGTGTTCTCAGCGTATGCAGGCGAGATCTCGCAAGCAGGAGAGCAAAAGCTTTTATGCCTGAGAAAGTCTAGGCCAGTGTTAGGCTTTACACCTTCCTCTTCCCATCTGTCTGCTTGCCCAGATGGAGAGCAGGTCAGATCAAGTTGGTTTCCTGAAGATCATTTCACTTGTGTTCAAATCCCGTGGTTCTGAAATAACATGAGAGTATCTAATGAGGAAAGGCTGGGTGACCTCAGAGTAGATAAGGAGGGAAATAAAAAAAAAAGTCTTAAGTACTGAGTTCTGTTCCTTTCTTTTTGGTGACAAGTGTGAAGCCACTGTTTTGTACAGTAGTGGCTTCACAGAATGGGGTGTAAACAGGCTGTAACTGCCAGCCTTACTGTGGTTTTAGCCAAAAATACCATCTTCTGTAGTCCTGCCTTTGTGGAAGGTAGCAGTCCACTGAAAACTGACATAATGGCATTGTGTACAAGTAGTTTTGAAGTTAGATTTCCATTCATTTCCAGGATGATTGCAAGACTGTGGCTTTGTTAGAGCTGGTGTAGCAGAGCCCCGGAGGCAGAGGGAGGGCTGGAGGAAGAGTGTTGAGCGTTGGCCGGTGCCCTCCATGTGTGCAGACTCCCGGTGGCACTGCTGTACTCCTTGCCAGGTTCACCAAGGAATGCTAAATCTGTCGGTGAGGCAGGAGGGAAAGTCTGAAAGATGGTTTTCACTTGTGTTTGTATTACATCTTTAGTATTTACATTTTATAAATCCTCTAGTTCTCTACCAGAATTGCCAGAAAAAAAGGGCCGTATGGTTTTCACAGCTGTTTTTCAATATTTTCCAGACTAAAACTTGAACATAGCAAGCTGATTTATGAGTCACTTTGGATGAGTGTCTTAAAACAGCTACAGCCTGCCTTTTTGTTTTTCAGCTCTCCTGATTTCTGCTGAATTAGCAGCTCTGTAGGCCCCAGTGGGACTGATTAAGAAGCTGTTGCTGGATTTGCATTTTAAAATTGGACTTGGGGCTCAGGTTTCTGAGTTCTCTAAGGAAGAAGATGATAATTGTGACTAAGTGTTGTAAATTAAGTTAGCATCTAAAAGTTATATTTATAAAATGTGTGAAGAAACACTCGCCCTCTCCCACTATGCATTAGGCTTCCCTTTCAATTTTTTGTCACACAAACATTGATGCTCAGAGTTACATTTCAGCTTTCTAACACGGAGACTTGTGAGTTACAAAAGATGGCCATGCAGGCAATTCTACTTAAATGCTTAATCACTTTTATTAGAGATCTAAGGTGACAGACAGGTATATATACACTTTTTATTGTTATAAAGAATTTCTTAATATAAATCTGGTTTCTGAAGTTTCTGAGTGCATTCACTGTTGTAATTTTAATCGCTTTTGAAATTCTAGTAGCAAAAGTAGTCACAGAGGAGATTTTCTTGCCACTTGTTGTGTGGTTTAAACAGACAAGGAAAATTCAAAAAGAGAAAAGGCATATTTCAGATGTTCATATATTGGTGATTGAATGTTGTCAGTTCCATTTCTGTGAAGGAAGAATACTGATTCACTTTCAAATCTTTTCTTCATATGTGTTTTAAGATAAATTGAGAAATGCATTGGACTGAAAGGTACCTGTAACTTTACAACAGGGATGATATTTTTTAAAATGGAAAAAAACAAAAAAAAAAAAAAAAAAAAAAAAAAACAAAACAAAACAAAACAAAACAAAAAAAAAACCAAAAAACCTGAGTCAGGTCCAGTGGTCTAAGTTTCAGAAACTTCTATATGCTTAAGCTTCACTTAGAATATTAGTAATAGATGAATATTTTAACTCTCAGATCACTTCCAACTGATCTGATTTAACTTAATGTAACTTGTGAGGCTTTTTGTTTTGAAACTTTCTGATGCCAGTAGTGCTGAAATAACATTTAATAAAATGTTTATAATACATTTTATCCAGCCATTGGTAGACAAGCACATATACAGCTGTGTGAAACGAGATTTAGTATTGTCAAGAGAGTTTTTGTTATTTTGCTTCAGTTTTTTTTTTTTGGAAATTGTGTTTGACAACCTGCTGTACGTAAACCAGGAACGAGGAATTTCTGTGTCTGTGTTTGTAAGTAGGTGATAAAAATCTGAGGTGGAAAATCTGAGGGTATCTTTAGTGTTAAAAACAAACACACACAAAAAAAATAGTTTGAAACCTGGTGCAAGTTGTTACGCTCATGGTTGCCTTGATAGACTCCAGATGGATGTGAGCTTGAGCTATGAGTGAAAGTGTCTGGCTCCAGTGTGGTGATCATGCACAGCAGTGGTTGTAATTGCAGGATTTTTATAGTTTAAGGACTCTGCCAGATTTTTTTTTTTTTTTTTTTTTTTAACGTGTTATAACTCCAGCAGAACAAATCTACTCACGTCTGTTACAGTCTGGTAGGTCCTTTAGGCAAACATGTTTTAAATAAACCTTTTGCAGGGGCTATTAGATGAAATGAAGAAACGCAGGTTTTTAGTGCTAATGTTAAAAGCCATTTGTTGAAATAGTTACTGATTCCTAAGTGTTGTCTGAAGCATGAAGAACAGTAACATACTAGGCAATAACAGCCATAGCTTCACTGAATTTTGGCTGTTTATTTACATAGTTTTTAAAATCCCTATAGACTAAAGCCAAATATTGAATTAAGTTTAAGGGTAGAAATTGTCTCTTAGTCTGCTTGAAAGGACCAAGTTAGATTCTTGTCTAGATCTTTGTGACTGCATTTTTTTCAGTATTTACATTTAAGAATGAAGTATGAGAATTTCAAATCTATGCAGCTAATGTCTTCAGATGTTAAACAAAGGGATTTTTTTCTGCAGTCTATGGCCAAGAAAATGTTTGCACTAGGTTTTATATCAGTGAAAGATGCAGTCTTCTAACTCAAGTGTGGCTAACCTCATTTACAGGAGAACTCAAAATGATAATGATGAAACTAACACTTGTGGGTTTTTGAAAATGTTAACATTATTGGTTTTCCACCTTTAGGAAGAAAATCTATAGGGGTTTAGGCACTTGGAAGAAGGCATGGATATATGTTATGTGTTTGAATCCTGAGATGAGTCTCGGAAAGCAATCCCTCCTTGGCCACCTGAAGGTGGTGGAGAATGTGCCATTTCTAGGTGTCTCCCTCCAGACCTCAGCCCCTCTTTTTTGTGCTGGAAAATGCCTTTCACAGCTGCAGGTTTGCCCTGTGCAGCTGTTCTGCCAGTGACTAGGCCTAACAGGAACAACACAACCAGCAGGAAGATGATCCAATAGGTGGAATGTATTGTATACAAGAAAGACATTCCATGGATGATTGCTGGGGGTACAAACAAGTCAATTAGTTCACATATGACTGACATTACCCCCAACGATCCCAAAAAAGACATAATCCAATCAACAATACGTAATACAAGCAGAGAACCAAGGTTTCCCATAGTTGGCAAGGGAAACAGCCAGACCAGAAAGCTAAACAAATAATGCAAAGGCACCCACATGGCAACTCTCACCTGATTAGCCTGCAATCACAAAGGTCCAAGCAGACCAGGGCCCAGCTCCAGAGAGAGTCAAGAGGTCTGCCCTGAACCAGGAAGCTCTGGGGAGTGCACTCCACAGACAGACACTCCTGACTCCCTGCAAGTGGTCCCAGCTTTTATCCCCAAGCAGACACCTGACCTTTGTCAACTCAGTGCGGGACCCCTGGGGCTCATTTCCCTTCTGGCTCTCCCTGCAGGGCCGGCCGCACCCTGGGGGGAAGCTATAAGGCAAACTCACCACCTCTGTATGAAGGGCTGTGGGAATCACCCATATTGTCAACCTTAATTTGGGGCTCGGGGTTCAAACCCCAGCATTTCAGCAGCCCTGGCTTGGGAAGAAGCATTGCCTGGGTCTCTTCCCTGCCTGTGGCCATGAGCCAGGTGATGGTGCCACAGTTCTGCAGCCTGCTGGGCCTGATTCACTTGCCTGGATTGGAGCACACCTTGTAACTGAGTACTGGTGGTATAACCTGTAATGCCTGTATCTACCTGTGGCTATTTTATTATGTTTTATTACTATGATCATTTTTAACCTCTGACTCCAGGGGAGGACAAAGGAATAATGGAATTGTCCTTGCAACGTTCAGCAAACGCAGCATGGAGCAACAAATAGCTGAGGGAGTCTGAAAGATGGTTGTGCCGTCTTCATGTGCTGTTGAAGAAACTTAAGTGCCTGGCTGGGTTGCAGCATTACACCTGTGTCTGAGGTTATGCAATAGTGTGTGCAGAGAAACCCGAGTTCTCTGCATCTGAAGTTGTTCAGGCCTTAGTCACAGTGTAGGACACCTAACACAGACCTTGAATCTGGCTTGATTTAAGTAAGTTCTGGTCTTTTTGCAGCAAGGATACACTGATCACCAGGTTTCTTCACTTGCAGAACTGTAGATGAGGAGTAGACATGTATGTGACAGGCCTCTGACATACTCAGTATAGGTAACTGTAGTGAGTCATATTATCCAGAAAAAGTAAGGAATCCCAGAGTTTCCTCGCAGAGTCAGCTTGGAATACACTTCATGCCCATGTGGCTAGATGGGGGTCCCAGGCATGTTAGATCACTGTTCAGTGCTCAGTTAGCATGGGGAAAAGTGTCATGCAGTGTGAGAAATTTCTTTGCCTTTACCTGATGCTACAGCAGCTCACTGTTGAAGTATGCTGATGCAATTCTTGTGTCTGCATTGCAGACTCTCAATGGAGTGAGTTTAAGAACTCCTTAAACACAGCGTGGTTTTTGTTTGCTGCCTTGGATAAACTCAGCATTGTAACATTCTACAGGTGCTCTGCAGGTGGCTGAATTGCTGCAGGTGAGGTAGTGACAGGCTCTAGTATGAGAGCAGGAAGGTACATGTTGTGGGGGATGAGTGACCAAGAAAGAGAAAGTCTTCAGCAGGGCTGCCGATGTTTACAAGGCGAGTTGTGCATCTTGTACCACTTATGCAGATCTCTATAGACATGCAAGTTTCTGTAATTAGCTTCTCTGCCTCCTATTGTATAGTCATTCTTTTATTTCTGTGATGTTTCCAGCACTTCTGGGGCTACAGAAAAAAATTATTAGGACTCTGCCTGTGCAGTGTTGTCAAATGTTTGAAAGGACACACGGTAAAGAAGCATGGTGTCTGTAGGGGAGTGGTCAAGAAAATGTATTTCACTTGTAGAACCCTGGCTTATTTTGTAGCAAATGCTACAAATACATGAGATTTCTTGTAAACTACATCAGTAGGTATTTGGAATGTTGAGTGGCACAAGCTAAGTGCCCAAGCTGCTTTTTCAAGTACGATTAAGTGCAGTGTTAAGGTGACTAGTAGACAGACATCTTAAAACAGAATAGAACTTGGCCTTCCTATGTCTGTTTTCTTCTGATATTGCTTGTTTAAGATCCCCATTAAATTTAGTCATAGGAATGGAGTGTGGAATTGTGTGGGAGCATGAAAATACAGTTGAGATTTATGGACAGTCCCCATTGTGCACTTACGATCTGTGCCTTGCCTTAGAGAAGTGAGAAGAGTAAATGGTACAAATACTGTGATTGACTCAGGGAATGAAAGTGCAGTGAGCAGTGGATTATGAATTTTCCTTGTAACTGCAAGAGATTGCTTCAGCAACGTCTTCTGTTGTGAAAGGATGAGAGAGAGGGGTTAGTGGTGGTATATATGAGTCAAAATCTTGAAGTGATTTTCATGGGTCTTATACACATCCCAATAAAGAATTCTAAACTGTTCAGAGGTGTAGGAAATTCTTTGACACTGCTGGCAGTGATCAAGGTATTTACACTTATTTATACCTTGTATACTCAAATGAGTTTCTCTTGTAATTTTACTCATATAAAAAAACACCAGATGTTCTATGTACCTAGAAAGAAATTATAACAAAGTTTAGATTGAAATTGTATTACTTCACCTGATATTTTATGACAAAACTGACAGGCTGTTTATTTTTGTAACCTTATAGGGACTTAAGTCACAACAAATTATCTTCAATCAAGGCCAGTCTTTTGGATCACCTTTGTAGTCTTCAGGAAGTGTAAGTTAATTTGTCTTAATTATGCCTCCCTTCCCCACCCCTCTCCTCCAAACCCTCCCCCCCAAAACCAAACACAAACACTGGTGGGCTTTTCTTGGTATGCTAATTATATAGCTATTTCTCTGGGGATAATTGGTTGAACAACAAAGATACTCTGGTAATTTTACATTAAGTGAAACTGGAATTATTTTTAATTTTGAGGTGACAGCGTTCAGCAATTTAACGAGTCCGGTGTACATACTTCTGGTTGACATCAAAGCTGACTCTGCCTTTTCTAATATTGATAGGAAGTTGAACAACAACGAACTGGAGGTCATTCCAGATTTGGGACCGGTCTCTGCAAATATAACTCTGCTGTCTTTGTAAGTAGAACTTACTCTTATAGCTAGCTAGTGGAACTAACTCTACAGGGTTTGTGGAAATATGTGCATTACAGAGATTAAAGTGAAATAATTTGAAATAGAGCAGCTTGTGGTTAGGAAGTTGATTATGTCATATTATTTAGCAGGTTGTTTAAAATGTGTATAATTGAGCTTAATCCTTGTAGGTTTTATGCTTCCTTTGGATACAAAGACTACATTAGAATTAATTTATGTTGTGGTAGTGCCCAGAAGCCTCAGCCCTGTTGTGCTAGGCACTGTGCAAACATTAGTAAACGTTATACAAACTTGTACAATAAAGACTTTAAAACAAGAGTTATGCTCTATCATTATGCATCTTGGCTGAAATCCCACTTGTGTTAAACGATGGCAGAATTCCATTAATTTCAGTGGCCAACATGGGGAAATTGCCTAGAGATGCAGCTTCAGGACAAGTGTCTAGGTTAGGAGATGCTTTGCCAATATCTTTAAAATGTCTTTTTGAGCCCATTGTAATATGTGGCATCATATTTTTTTATGGCTGCAGTTAATACACATAATTGTGACACATGATTATGTCTTATGTTCATTGCTTTGTTTGAAAAGAAATTGGTAGCTTACTTGATGTGGCATCTGTAACACAAGCGCACAGCTTTAAAAGGCATATAGGACCCATAACCAAACCAGATGATTTTAAAGAAAATTTTATTCCTGAGGTTTTCACTTGAAATTGATTTGGCTCTTTTTTTTTTTTTTTTTTTCTCCAGTGATCTAATTTCTTTAAAATGTTGAATGAACTGCTAACAAAAATAGTTAGTATCATCCTATTAACTGGAGAAAAGAAAGTACATGTCTTTCACATGTGGGATTTGTGTTTTATCAATGGGATTCTAAAGTTATCTAAAGCTAGTAATATGTAGCCCTCTGGCCAAATCCCGCTCCTGAATACAAATTGCAAGTTACCTTTCTTGAAGAAGCCTGAAGGGTTAAAACAATACAGTAAACTTTGGAAAGCTGTTCAGTTAATTAAATTGATCACCATTCAATTGCTTACATCTGGTGATTTATAGGGGTTTGTTTTTACTCTAGGCTCAGGTCAGCTAAGTCAGCTGGTGCAGCCACTGTGTCTGGACTGCTCTGTTTGAATAAGAACTAAGTGACATTTGATACTGTGGTTTCTTACAGATCAGAATCTGAAAAGAGAGAAAGAAAAAGCAGATGGTGTCTGACAAATAACTGTTGAAAATAAGCATAACTTCTATTTTGCGTTAGTGTTGATGTTATTTTTACACTGGGATAGCATTCTGTAGTTTAAGGATCTAATGATTTTATTTTTTTTAACCACCTTGCTAAGTTTCTTTTTAGCAGAAGGCTAGAAATACTAACATAGTAAAGTGGTTTATATCCTCCTGCCTTACTTCTGGTGAATACAAAGTTGAGAATTTTTCTAAGCATCTCCTGTAGTCCCTCTCATGGAAGCTTAACTAAGTTGGGTGAAGCTAAAACCATCCTCCTGCAGCTGTGTGAAGTTTTTCATATTTCTTTGAGAGCATAAATAAAAATGGGTCACTGCTGGGTTGGTTATTCCATATCCTTTGGTCACTAGCATGGTTCATCTGCTCAAGTGGCCAAATATGGAGGAAACATTGTTAGATCTGTGCTCTGCACTATCTATATTCACACATAAAAAGGGGGAAAAAGAAAGTATATCTAAAAGCTGTTATCATACTACTAATGCATTTAAACATGGTCTATTTGAGTGCTATCTTGCTCTCATTCTTATTTCTATTACTTCTGTGTATTGTCAGGAGATAACTGAATATAAATGTAAAATCTATGTATTACATGTAATGATGTAATATCTACTCTGTTATCACAGCAGAGATTCTTTTTTTTATTAATATGGTAGAAAAAATATTTGAAGTCATTTAAAGGTTTTATGTTAACATGAGTGTCAGTGTATGACAGCGAAGACAATACTTTGTTCCAAATCAAGATGCATGCACATAGACCATAAAATTAAGAGAGTGGTATTGCGTTGTTCAAAAAATAAAGCATCTTACTTCTATTGCAAAGGTTTCACTTTGAAATGTGTAGTAGAAACATAGAATCATTTAGGTTGGAGAAGACTTTTAAGATCATTCAGTCCACCTGTTAACTGAGCACTACCAAGCTCACCACTAAACCATGTCCCCAACTGCCACGTCTAAAGAACTCTTAAATACCTCCATGGATGGTGACTCCACCACTTCCTGGGCAGTCTGTTCCAGTGCTGGACAAGCCTTTCTGAGAAATTTTTGCTAGTGTCTCATGTAAAACTTCCTCTGACATACCTTGAGGCCATTCCCTCTTGTCCTGTCGCTTGTTACTTGGGAGAAGAGACTGACCACTACCTCACTAGAACCTCCTTTCAAGTAGTTGTAGAGAGTAATAAGGTCTCCCCTGAGCTTCCTTTTATTAAAGGTTTGAAGTTATTTATGTAAAGATGTAAAATCTCATTTTACGGGAAAGGATATAAATAAAAAGGAATAAACATACAGAAGCTGTCTGATGTGAAAATATATGTAGTATCGTATCATAGATGGACAAATAGTCTAGTGATGAGTTTTTTTTAGAAGTGAAAAAATACATTGACTTATTTTTTTCTGTGTTGGATGTTACTTGGAGAGGTTGAATCAAACTCGGTTAATATGTCTAAGTCATGTAGAGAACACATATGGAACAATTAGAATATAATTTTTAGAACCACTCTTCAAAGAAAAAGTGTATTTGAAACATCTGACTTTCTTCAGGATTTTAAACTTTTATGTGAAAGGAGCTTGTGGAGCCTTTCCAAAACAAACCACCATTTCCTTGTTGAGTCTTTGTTCTGACTTTTAAATAATAGCAGAAAAGAGGGTGCTAGTCGTCTGAAACTTGATTTGATTACATTTCTTATGGGACACATGTATGTTGGATCATTACTGTCAGTTGAATAGCCAGTTGTTCTTTCCATGGAGTTGTCAAGGAGTGCTGTGGAAGTGGTGCCCTCCTTTCTTGCCAAAGTCTTCATTGTTGAAGAAACTCTATTCTTGCAAGATTTCCCCTGCCACCCCCCTCTTCATAGTACTTGTTACTCAGCTGTGGAGCTTTAGAATTTTACCTGCTCTGCAGGAATTTTCGTGCCCTGCACAGGAAATTATACTGCTGGTATGTCTGCAGTGAATAATAGTGCAGGTATCTCCGTACAAGACTGTATGTCTGAGTTCTTTGAACAGCATAAACAAGCATGGGTGGATTATCATGTTAGTGTAGTTTCCATTTCTGGAGCTACCTCATTTTTAGCTATCTAATTTATATTTATCTAGCTTAGATATTTACATACTGTTGAATTATGCATGATAAGCGTCCCCAGAGCAGTAGATGTTGCCAGTCTCTTGTCATGGTCTGTCTGTAACATGAAACAATGATAGAAACTTTTTGTTTTTATGGATGCTAGTTGAGAGTTGAACACCACGGGAGAGAAAAGTATCAGGCAGGTGCACACCCCCCACCACTCTGAGAAGACCTGTGTCTTTGTGAAAGCTCATCAAAGCACTGCAGGCACACACTGTTTGTGTGGCTGGAGATGCACCCATCATTTTATTCATACAGTGAGTTATGTATCTGGTCACATGACATGGAGTTTCTGACCCTCCTGGGAATCTGGAAACTGCTGTGGACTAGCTTGGTGTTACTTTGGGCTAAATCTGGTCAGGAGGCCTTATGTTGTGAAGGTGTGATGGCTGGACAGAGCAAAGAGTAGGATTCATCTTCCCTACCCTAAGTTCTTGAAAGGTTGATATTGTTAAGTTTGAGTTACTAACTCTACATCCTCTTTAGGGTGAATGGAGAAGCCAAGGCTCCCTCTGAAGTGGTTTGTTTTCCCTGAGATAGGTGAGCTTCCTACTGAAGCCCATCTAGATACCATTTTTAAACTAACTTCTAGATATCTAAAATTTGGGTTCTTTTTGAAACATAGTTAATGTAGTAGGGCATGCCTGTCTTAGTGATGTTACTGTGAAGATCAATATGTTTGACCATTTAAGTTAATTATTTGAAATAGAGATCGCAGAGTGCACTTTCTTTTTCAAGACACCTTTTCTCTGTCTTCTGCTGGAGAAGGAAGGAGGAGAGCAGTTTATCAAAGTAGAAGGAGAGAAGTTCAGCCATTTGTTATATTACCATCTCTCCAGTCAGCACAGCAGCTCTAGCCAGGAGGCCAGGTCGCACCAAATACTGGGCAACATAAGTTTTTTGGGAGAATACTGGATGTAATAACTGATTACCACAAATATATATTGTACAGATGCCACACACAGTAAGGTAGGTGTGCTTCTCTATCCCTAGTAGTAGAATAACCTTTAGTTAGTGTTCTGTAAGAAAGAAAGACACTGATTTGCAAATGGCTGCAGCATTTTTTAAGGTTTTGTTTAAGGATATACAGTTTAAATAAGAAACCCGTGCTATGCTACTTGCAGGGTTTTTTTAAAACACATAGTCTTAGACACTATCCAACATCATCAGGGCATTGTATCCTGGAGTACTGTGAAAAAGGAAGGCAGCAGTGACTTTTAAGAGACAGCAGCTTTGAATATTACAGCATTTTACCATCCCAACTAAATTTTACTGTTCTTATAAAAATGTATATGTAGAACCAGAACTAATACTAAAAAAAGCGTGTTTCTTATTACCCACATGCAGGATACGTTCTATAGGAATCATCTTGCTGTCTGTAGGGACGTGCTGTACATGCCAAAGTCTTTAGTGCATACGGTGAAATTCTAATGTTAGGCTAGCTTTAAATAATGGAATGTTTTAAACAGACTTGTGATTTCACATTTTGTTCAATAGAAATAACTTTATTGGAAAGCACTACTACATATGGTGCAGGTGATTTAGATGGAAATACCTTGTAGCTTATGTTGTAAAGACTGATCATATTAGTCTGGACACAAACAAATATTTGGTCTTAATAAACAAAG